TTTCTGGCCACATTCCACTGGCCAGGACATGGTCATATAGCCACGTTTAAATGCAACAGAGCTGACAAATGTGGTCTAATTGTGTGCCCAGATGGAAAAGGAACCAGGATTTGGCTAACACATAGCAATCTCTGCTGCAGACAGAAAAATGCTTATGTAGACCCTGACTTTTCTCCTGACAAAGCTACCCAGGAACATGGTGAATGCCAGGGTTTTTGAATCTTGGTCTTTCAGGTTGGGAGGGTCAAAGTCTGACTGATGGTGCGGAATCTCTACTGAGTAACAGCTTGTCAGCAAAGAAGAGTTTCTGTGAGATATACTTTTACCTCAGAGGGTACAGCATTTATAGTCTTTGAGCACTCCAGGATTTCTAGAAAGAGCATGGCTGCAACTGTTTACAATAGCCCAGACATGGAAGCAACCTAGATGTCCACTGGCAGATGAATGGATAAGAAAGCTGTGGTATATATACACAATGAAATATCACTCAGCCATTAAAAAGAATACATTTGAGTCAGTTCTAATGAGGTGGATGAAACAGGAGCCTATTATAGAGAGTGAAGTAAGTCAGAAAGAAAAACATCAATACAGCATACTAATGCATATATATGGAATTTAGAAAGATGGTAACAATGACTCTATATGTGAGACAGCAAAAGAGACACAGATGTATAGAACAGTCTTATGGACTCTGTGGGAGAAGGCGAGGGTGGGATGATTTGAGAGAATAGCATTGAAACATGTATATTATCATATGTGAAACAGATCTCCAGTCCAGGTTCGATGCATGAGACAGGGTGCTCAGGGCTGGTGCACTGGGAAGACCCAGAGGGATGGGATGGGGAGGGGGGTGGGAGGGAGGGAGGGTCAGTATGGGGAACACATGTACACCCATGGCTGATTCATGTCAATGTATGACAAAATCACTACAATATTGTAAAGTAAGTAGCCTCCAATTAAAATGAATACATTAATTACAAAAAAAAAAGAAAAGAAAAAGAAAGAGCACGGCTGCAGCCAAACCCATAATGCAAGTCATATATTCACTTCCCTTCAGTTTTGAATGTGGACAGGGGTCAGTGGCTGTCCTGAATGGCAGGATTTGGTGTGCTGTCCTGAAGCATGACGCTGGGAAGGTGGTAGGATCTCAAAGGGATTATTGTGTGGTTTTGAAAGTGAGTTGAACCTAAGGGTTCAGATGTACACCCTTAAAGGGTTCCTATATCTCAAAAGCTGAGAGTTAGTGGACTGCAGGGGGCAATGGCAGGTATAGAGACTAGATAGTGGACGAATTAGCATCAACTAGTAGGGATTAAAATTGGGAAGTGGGAGGTTGGGGACATCAAGCATTTAAAACATCATCTTCAAAAGACCTGAATTTTCTTATTTGGCCCTAAAATGGAGTGCAGGGGACTCAATAACAAATTAAATTACCAGACAGTCTTGCTAGATGGGGCCATGAAATCAGAGTTCTTTTGTATAAAGAAAACTAAGAAATAACTTTTTTTTCTTACTGAAGATGGGGGCTGCAAATTCACAGGTCTTCTAGCCAAGAGGGTTTTAGTGTGGGGAGTGTTAGTGGAATGAGCTCTCTCTAAGGCGAGAATAGAGAGACTGTGGGAAGCAAAGGGAGGTATTGGAGATTGTGCCGGTGGAGCAAAGGTACCCCTGGGGCCTGAAGACCCTTTGGGGGGCCCATACTTATCCTGAGACATGACTTGTCTTTTCCACTCTCATCTTTCTTTCCTCCATGAGTGTACAGAGGAGTTTTCCAGAGGCAACGGATCAAATGAAAGCAGATATAAACATCCAGCTGTCTTCTCTTAAGCCAGGCATAAAAGAGATTTGCAAAGATGCAAACCACTCTTCTCACTAAATATTCTTTGTTTATGATTATATGATTACTTTTCATAAAATATTTATGCTCACATGCTTTTTATTGCTATTTAGATGAATTCATCAGTAAATATTTTAAAAATCTCAGTGTTACTTTCAAATAGAATAAATATTGATAAATACAAATCATATTTTTAAAAAGCTCTTTAGGGCTTCAGTTCTTTTTAAGGATGTAAAGAGGTCCTGACACCAAGATGCTTAAGAATGCTAGATTGCAGACCACCACCAGAGCTGAGAAAAATTAGATCCTGCCATTTGTGGTCTAATAATTTCAGAGAATGTGAAGCACTGAGAAGGTAGATTTTTCTTTCTGGAGAAAAATCATTAGAAGTTAGGGGTTATGGTGTAGATGGCCATTGGTGGGATAAGGAAATATTAGTAACACTTCACACAGCAATTTGTAAACCTAAAAAATTACAATACTGCCATCTAGTGTTCCATAGTGAAAATATTTTAATATTTATTTTTCATTCAGTTTCTGATTGCTTCAGAACTGAAAGACTAGAGGGACTTTAATATCATGCCTTGTGTTTTTTATGTTTATGTCACCAAACACATACCCTTTAAATGTCTCCCCTCATTTCCTTTGATAGTTAACCTCTTCTTTTTTCCTAGGATTAGGATTACTAGAGAGGGTAGGATTTCAACCTAGCTATACTTTGATCATTCTTATGTTCCTGTCTTACACAGTGTAGGATGTATTATTGCTGTCTTAGAGGAACTGGGGGCTTCCCTGGTGATTCGGATGGTAAAGAATCTGCCTGCAATGCGGGAGACCCAGGTTTGATCCCTGGTTTGGGAAGATCTCCTGGAGAATGGAATGGCTACCTACTTCAGTATTCTTGCCTGGAGAATCCCATGGACAGAGGAGCCTGGCGGCCTACAGTACTTGGGGTGGCAAAGAGTCAGACATAACTGTGCGACTAACACTTGAACTGAAGAAATAACTTTCCTCACTTTGATTTTTCCTAACTCCTCTCTCCCCAGACATTAAAAAAGCCAACTTAATTTTGGATCAGTTTTGGATGTATAGGAAAGGTTCATAGATAGTAGAGAATGTTCCTGTGTACGCTCCACCCGGCTTCCCCTATAGTCAGCATCCTCATGACTATGGTCCACACACTGCGTCTGGCACAGTGGATGAGAAGTTCCACACGAGGCACGCGACTGAAATTTCAGAAAGAGAAGGTCGGGGAGCAATGAGAGTGAGCTGCGGCACGAAACAGGCGACATATGAAAGATGAGGCTTGGCTTGTCATCAGACTTCTCAATCGCCACACCAGAAGCTAGAGAGCCATAAACCAATGCTTTCAAAATTCTGAGTGAAAATTATCTGTGTCATAAAATTCCAGAGTAGCCAAACTACATATCAAGTGTGACATTAGAATAAAGATAATTGTAGAACTATGGGGTTTCAAAAAATATGCCTCCTATGCCCTTTGTTGGAGAAGGAAACTGCAACCCACTCCAGTGTTCTTGCCTGGAGAATCCCGGAGACAGAGGAGCCTGGTGCGCTGCTGTCCATGGGGTCGCACAGAGTCGGACACGACTGAAGCGACTTAGCAGCAGCAGCAGCAGCAGCATGCCCTTTGTATCAGAAAGTTATTCAAGGGCTTGCTTCTCTAAAAAGGGAAAGGAAACAAAGAGGGAGAAATCCTAGAGCTGATGCAGGAGGCTGCAGACCAGGTACATCTGTGGCTGCCTGAGAAATAAGCAGTGCAGCGTGGAGCAGGAAAACAGAAGTGTCTTAACATAGATTCATAGCAGACTGTGTGGGGATAAATTAGTGACAAGTATACAGGAAATTAAATATTAAAACCAGACAGTTGATGAGCCCTAGAGAAAATAAAAAGCTTCACATAAGTGTGGTATGCTACATGGTTTAGCTTTGAGCCATACTTGGTCAAATTCATGTAAATAGTGAACACTTATTTAAACAGAAATAGTAATCTAACCACATTGGGGGGAATGGAGGAAGGGGAGAGAAAGAGAGAACAGACACATGCTGGGATCTTCCACCCTTCTATCCAGAAGTCAATAGTTACTATGGAAAATTGAAAAACAAATTAAGAAGCACCAGTATCAGCCTATTGCTTAGACATACATACCTATACCGAGCAGGCTTCAGTCGTGTCCAACTCTTTGGACCCTATGGGGTGTAGCCCCCCATGCTCCTCTGTCCATGGGATTCTCCAGGCTAGAATACTGGAGTGGGTTGCCATGCTTCCTCCAGGGGATCATTCACTCCCAGGGATCGAACCTGCCTTTCTTATGCCTCCTGCACTGGCAGGCAGGTTCTTTACCACTAGCGCCACCTGGGAAGCAACATGAAAATAAAAACCAGCAGAAACAGCTGAGGATAGTTACCTCTAGGGCATGGGGATAAGGAATTGGGAGGAATTGGTCAAGGGAAAGTTCTAGGAGGATTAAAGAAAGAAAGTGAAGTTGCTCAGTCATGTCCGACTCGTTGTGACCCCAAGGACTGCAGCCTACCAGGCTCCTCCGTCCATGGCATTTTCCAGGCAAGAGTACTGGAGTGGGTTGACATTTCCTTCTCCAGGGGATCTTCCGGACTCGGGGATCAAACCTGGCTCTCCTGCATTGTGATCCCATGGACTATACAGTCCATGGAATTCTCTAGGCCAGAATACTGGAGTGGGTAGCCTTTCCCTTCTCCAGGGGATCTTCCCAACCCAGGGATCAAACCCAGGTCTCTCACATTGCAGGCAGATTCTTTACCAGCTGAGCCACAAGGGTTGTCGTGACTTTTAAAAGCAATGTCCATGTATTTCATAAGATTAGAAGGACGGGTGCCCTGCAGGGATTAGGTCTGTGCCCAGGCTGGCCCAGCTCTGTTAAGAATCAGGGAGTGTCCGGGGAAGAAATTATAGACACTCCCCCTGAACACAGTGATTTGGCTTCCTATCAAGGCTGTGGCCATTCAAGCAAAGTCGTTTAATCAGGCTCCCTTCTTATTTGCATATTCGCTCACGATCCGTGACTTCAGCCAGGGTGAGAGTTCACTTACTGTTTGCGCAGCTGCGGGACTCTGCCTGAAAGGTGCTCCGTTGCCCAAGTGTCCCGGTCCGCTGTCTCTGAAACACATGGCTTTCCCTGCAGGATTTGGATGGGGGGCAGCCACCTCAGCTTATCAAGTGGAAGGTAGGAGAAACTCCTTGCCCTTCTCTAGGGCTGGGCTGGATGCCTTGTCATGGATTCTGTATGTCTGCGGAAGAAGGTGGGGATGAGGAGGCAAAGAAAAAAAAAAGAGGGAAAAGCACTGTGCTGCGTGCTAAGTCGCTTCAGTTGTGTCCGACTCTATGCGACCCCATGGACTGTAGCCCGCCAACTCCTCTGTCCATGGGGATTCTCCAGGCCAGAATACTGGAGTGGGTTGCCATGCCCTCCTCCAGAGGATCTTCCCGACTCAGGGATCGAACCTGCCTCTCATAGGCCTCCTGCATTGGCAGGTGGGTTCTTACCACTAGCACTACCTGGGAAGTCCCAGAAAAGCGCTGAAGAGCCCATAATTGTATAAATGAAACTACCCCTTTTCTTATAGAAGAGGCTCACTTCCCATGTCCCTTTCCTTAGACACAAGGGTGGTGGTGGTGACCGGCTGAAGACCCAGCAACAGCTGTATTTTTGGTCGGTTTCAGCGTATCTGAGACATCAGTGTACATTGAGCGAGTTGCTTTCATCATTTGTTTCTTGAACACATTGGCCATGACCTCCCTAAAAATGAAAACAGTTGCTCCTGTTGGTTGGAAAATACTAAATACCTTCAAAGATTTTAAGAGACATCATTAAGGGATGTTCTTCAGGTGGGAGAGGTGCCCTGTTTTATTTCTATTAAGCACAAGCCCCCACCTCCACCCCATTTCCTGGGTGGCTGAGAAGTAAAGGGGAGCGATTGTGAGAGGTCAGAGGATCCAGATGAAGTTGGTCTCCATTCACCTCCCTGGAACTGCCAGGTAGAACCCATCTTCCATGGGGACTGCTGGCTCAGATGGTGAAGAATCAGTGTGCCTTGTGGGAGACCCGCTTCGATCCCTGGGTTGGGAGGATCCCCTGGAGGCGAGCATGGCAACTGACTCCACTGTTCTTGCCTGGAGAATCAATCCCATGGACAGAGGAGCCTGGCGGGGCTGCAGTGCATGGGGTCGCAAAGAGTCGGACATGACTGAGCAACCAATACTTTCATACTTTCATGCTCTGATACAAGGCATGCTCAAAAGTTCTGGGAATGTCCAGTTTAGCAAGATCCCACATCACTTTTCTCTCTCTCTGTAGTACCATCTTCATCTTTTCCCAGATGATCTCCACTTGGTCAGCGTGGGTAGCTTGACAGAGATGACCCTCTAGGAGTAAAAATGAGAGATATTGCGTTGACTAGTTTCCTTCTCGGAAGAGAGTTCAGACAGAACTAAGAGGGGGTTGCAGAGTGCTGGAATGGAGTGAGCAGAATCAGGTTCTAGAAGGAACATAGAATGGAGACTAGGAAATTAGACTGTGGAGTCAGACTCCCTGGACCTGGGGTCCATCTCTACCTTTTCCTAACTCTGTGTGACTTTGGGCAGGTTACTCGACTTCTCTGTGCCTTCTCATGTAAATGGGGATAATGATGGTATTATCAACCTTATATTGTTGCTGTGAGGTTTAAATAAGATGATATAAGTTAAAGGCTGAATGATTAGTAAGAGATTCCTGAATGGTACTTATATTTAGATGGGGGTCAGTCACAAAGGGTTTACTGAGAATGACTCAGTTTAGAACTCTGCAGTAAACTTGGCTGAAATATGCAATCAGTTATCCAAGACAACACAGTGGGTTTCAGCACCCAGCTCCAGATCCTGCTCCCTCAGGTGCAGGGGGTAAGCATACGGCTCCCTTCTGGGCTTCTCTCTTTTCACAGGGCTTCCGCATGGCTAGCCCTTTTCTGTCTACACCCAGCTTGCTGCTGCCTTACTGTAAGCTCTTTATTTGTGATCCCTAGCCTACTATTGTGCTGTTCACTGTCTCATCACTGCTTTCAGAAGGGAAATTGATCTTCCTTTCTGTCAATGCACAGATGCCTTTTATATGTCTGCTTTCTTTTCTTTTCATACTGTTCATGGTGACCTGCCTCTTGAGAAACCTGTCTGCAGATCAAGAAGCAACAGTTAGAACTGGACATGGAACAACAGACTGGTTCCAAATAGGAAAAGGAGTATGTCAAGGCTGTATATTGTCATCCTGCTTATTTAACTTATATGCAGAGTACATCATGGGAAACACTGGGCTGGAAGAAGCACAAGCTGGAATCAAGATTGCTGGGAGAAATATCAATAACATCAGATATGCAGATGACACCACCCTTATGGCAGAAAGTAAAGAAGAACTAGAGCCTCTTGATGAAAGTGAAAGAGGAGAGAGAAAAAGTTGGCTTAAAACTCAACATTCAGAAAACTAAGATCATGGCATCCGGTCCCATCACTTCATGGGAAATAGATGGGGAAACAGTGGCAACAGTGGCTGATTTTATTTTTGGGGGCTCCAAAATCACTGCAGATGGTGATTGCAGCCATGAAATTAAAAGACTCTTACTCCTTGGAAGGAAAGTTATGACCAGCCTAGATAGCATATTAAAAAGCAGAGACATTACTTTGCCAACAAAGGTCCTTCTAGTCAAGGCTATGGTTTTTCCAGTGGTCATGTATGGATGTGAGAGCTGGACTATGAAGAAAGCTGAGCACTGAAGAATTGATGCTTTTGAACTGTGGTGTTGGAGAAGACTCTTGAGTATCTCTTGGGCAGCAAGGGGATCCAACCAGTCCATCCTAAAGGAAATCAGTCCTGAATATTCATTGGAAGGACTGATGTTGAAGCTGAAACTCCAATACTTTGGCCACCTGATGCAAAGAGCTGACTCATTTGAAAGCCCCTGATGCTGGGAAAGATTGAGGGCAGGAGGAGAAGGGGACAACAGAGGATGAGATGGTTGGATGGCATCACCGACTCAATGGACATGAGTTTGGGTGGACTCCGGGAGTTGGTGATGGACAGGGAGGCCTGGCGTGCTGTGGTTCATGGTGTCGCAAAGAGTAGGACACGACTGAGTGACTGAACTGACTTTCTTTTCTTATCTATCCTTTTATGCTGGGTTTGAATCCTAGCTCGAGCACTTACTAGCTGAGTGACTTTGGACAAATAACTTGTTTAAGTCTCAGCTTCCTTATTTGTAAAATTAAGAAAATGGTCATACCCACCCTGTAGCTTTGTTCTGAGAATTAAAGAGGTCTGCGTATGTAATTGAAGCACAAGAATGCTGGTGCATGTGAAAGTGAAGTCGCTCAGTCGTGTCCAACTCGTAGCGACCCCATGGACTGCAGCTTACCAGGCTCGTCCGTCCATGGGATTTTCCAGGCAGAGTACTGGAGTGGGTTGCCATTTCCTTCTCCAGGGTATCTTCCTGACCCAGGAATTGAAGCCAGGTCTCCCACATTGTAGACAGACACTTTACCGTCTGAGCCACCAATGCTTGGTGCATAGTATCCACTAAGTAAAAATAACACTACTATACTACTACTACTAGTAATGATGATGAATGTTATTCTTTCTCCTGGTTTGATTCTGTCCCACTACGTCATCTGCTCCATTTACTGGGAATGGTCCTTTCTTCTTTGGACCCTAAATAAGAATATACTCTGTTCTTGCTCATTCTTGTCCAGTTACTCAGAGTTACTGTTTAGCTACCCCTTCCACCATTGTAGGGATCACACATGCAGGATGTCAACACGTGGCTTTGTCAGATCAATGTGGCCTGGAATTTAAAAGCTGAAGTCCCCTTGTCATTTTCCAATTTTGATAATCTTTGAACTTTTGAGCTTCCCTGGCCTCTGAAAGTTCACAGAATCTTTGGAAGTCATGGACAGTTAGCAGAACTGAGGACTGAGCAGCAACTGTATTTATAAAAAAAAAAAAATCTATCTTGGTCATTTATTCTAAAACTTCATGATGTATCTTTTTATATTGATTTTCAAAACACATTGTCTGTGTAGGTATCTTTGTTTTCAGACACCCTCCCCTGAGTCTGGAGAGAGAGCTATCATACTCCATGGCCCCTGCCCTCCTCTACAGATCCATGCCCACCCCCACACAGAATCTGTGATCTTTTGGCTCTGTTACTTGGAATGGAAGTCACTGTCAGGTCTTTGCAAGTAGAGTGACCAGAAAGGGCAAAACAGGCCCTTCAGTCACTGGGCTTCCTAACGTACTATTTGCTTGTGTATTTCACCAGACCTATGGCTATTTCTTCTCTCTGTCCTTGTCCATGTCTCATTCACCTTCATGTTGGCCACTTCCTTGGCTATGGTTTTTAAGAAGAGTTTAATGTTTATTATACCAGAGTTGGCTTCATGGTGCCTAGAGCTTTTTGAAGGAAAGCACCATATAAATCTAATAAATAAATAATAAACAAGTGATATAAGCAAGAGGAAAATTACGTGTTTTAGGTGAGTTGTAAAGAACCCTGTAAAACCTGTAAAAATGTATTCGTTAGACAAAGAGGCAGGGAAGAAAATGAAGATAATCATCATTCGTACAGAAGTGAATCTCATGCAATATTTTAAAGCACACAAAAAAATCCCCATGATTTTTAACCCTTTATGAAATCTTTTGCCTGTGTTTCTGGCTGCAGGAAACATGAGGCACAAAGCAGCAGATAGTTCAGTGCCATTGTTTACTTCCTTGTAAGCCACGGAGGGCCTATGAAAATAACTTTTAGGACCTGATTGTACAGCTCTTATGATCTTGTAAGTCCCAGTAATTTCAGGGAAGTCTCTAAAGGGGTGAATATACTCTGCAAAAATCCTGCGGGTCCTAAGTTAAGTCTAAAACTACTCCACTAAGGCCTCCTGGTAGAATCCAAGTTTGTGGTTTTTAAGGAGATAAAGCCCTCAGTTTTATGAATGTGATTACCAACCCTCCATGATGCACTGGATATCAGTGTAATGTTTGGAGTATGATTTAACTTGGATTTTGACTTTATGTTGGCAGATATTGAGGCTGGCCTCAAAATTGGGCCTTCTATTTGCCTTGGTATATCAAAGATGAACTCCTGTAGTTGAGAAACTTGGGGTTCTTTTGTGCTTACAAAAGTGGGAGAGTGACCAAATTCTTTG